AAAAAAAAAGAAGAGAAAAAAAGCCATCCCACTATTTGATCAAGACTGCTGCTCCAGTATGGTGGGGAACATAGTAAGACTGAGGCAGGATAGTAAGAAGCTAGGAAAATTCCTGGGCAAGTAGAATGGGGAATCTGAGACAGATGGCTGAACAAACTGGCTGAGCAATTTATAGCCAGAATATAGGCCACCTCCCTAGAGATAACATCTAGGCCTCAGTTTTATTTCAGCTCCAGGCCCAGAAAAGCAGCAAAACCAGGACCAGCTGCAATGACTAATGACTCCTGGCCCTGGAGCACACAAATTAGTAGAGGCTGGGACCCTTAAAGCGCACATATGGAAAACTGATGAATATTCTGCTGAAACCCTCCCATGAGACATCCTCTAAGATTCCCACCTGCAAGAGCGAGCTAAAGGCCCTGGCTGAGTAGCTCAGTTGGTTAGTATATCACCCGACGTGCCAAGGTTGTGGGTTTGATCCCCAATCAGGGCACATACAAGAACCAACCAATAAATGCATAAACAAGTAGAATAACAAATTGATATTTTTCTCTCTCCCTTCTCTCTAAAATCAATAAAAAATTTTGAGAGAGATAAAGCCCTCAAGACAAAGGACCCAGGGGTGCAAGATCTCCCTCCAGTGAGCAAGCCCATGCTTTTCCCTTTTCCCACAGGCACACATCTCCTAAACTGTAAGGTACCCCATGAGACTTGCAACCAGGGGAGCAATGGGCAGCAGCAGCTCGTTCTGGACTAGTCCCCTAAACCTGGCTTCAAGGCGCCCTTTTCTCCAACTTCCCAGTGAGCTAAAACAAGCCTGCCTTGGCTCATTTCATCTGGACTTGTGAAAACTTCCCTGCACGAAGTCAAGAACCCACACACTACTGGCTGGCCCTAGGCAGACCTGCTCAGGGTTAGGTCCCCTGTCCTGTAACAAGACCAGTGAACTCCATGAGCATAGGCCATTGTCATACTTCATTTGTTGTTAAGTGACTTTCTAGAGCAGAAGCAGTGCCGTGTAGAATACCATGACAGTGGACAAGGCATTCTGTATGTCCATCATGGCAATTTTGGAAGAAGCATTGCATGCAGAGAAGGCAAATTCATATTCAGAGTAAATATCTTTCTCAATAAGAATAAAATGGACGTGGTTCAATGTCATCAACTTGCTACCAGGTAGCTGGCTGATCAAGCTGGGGATGCTGCTATAATGGGAACTCAGTGTTGGTCTCTGGGGCTGGCTGACTGGGTGCTCAGCAATGGTTGTAGAGAGATGAGTGTTGATGAGTAGAAATCCATATTTCTGAATCCATGTATAACCTCCATCCCTAACACCACGGCCACATCTGGTACGGTGGCTGCAACTAGAACCACAACTACACTGGAAGTTAGGGCTTCAATATACAAATTTGGGGGACCCGATTATGACTGTATTTGGACTTAGGGCCTGTATGGAGGTCATTAAGGTTAAATGAGGTCATAAGGGTGGGACCTAATCTAATGAGACTTGTTCCCTTTCACCACACAATCTAATCTCCCTGCCCAAAGAATACAATTGTTACTGTATACCCCTCCACATGTTTCTATGGGTTTACAGGATACAAAATATTTATGTGTATCTAGTATCAGAAAGTTTGGGTTTTTCAACATAAATTTACAAAAAAATAAAATAAACTTACAAATACTATACCAATTTTTGCTTTTTAAAAAAGATTCAATAAGTATTGGAGATCTTTTCATAGGGGTCTACTTCATTCTTTCATTCTTTTTAACATATGCATTACAAATTGTGGTTTATTTAATCATTCTCCTGCTAATGTTCTAGCATGTAAAGATTGCCATAGGTATGCTTTATTTCTTTATTGATGTATGCTTTATTATATGTGCTTATAATTTCCTTTAAAAATCTATTTCACTAAGATATTTAAATTTATCAATATAGAGTTATATATGGTAATTTCTTAAAATTGAAGATTTACTCCATAACTGATGTAATGCTTTTACCTTGTTTCCATTGCTTTTGTTTAAAAAAAAAATATATATATAATGTTTTGTATTGATTTCAGAGAGAGGGAAGGAGAGGGAGAGAGAGACAGAAACATCAATGATGAGAGTCATTGATCAGCTGCTCCTGCACACCTCCTACTGGGTATTGAGCCTGCAACCCAGGCATGTGCCCTAACCAGGAAGCAAACCAAGAACTCCTGGTTCATAGGTCGATGCTTAACCACTGAGCCACACCAGCTGGGCATGTTTCCACTGTTTTTTGTCTTATTTCCCTTTTTCTTAACATTTTACTCCTTTTTTTTTTAAATCCTTACCCGAAGATATGTTCTTAGTGATTTCAGAGAAAGAGGGAGAGGGGGAGCGAGGGAGCGAGGGAGAGAGAGGGAGAGGGAGAGAGAGAGAGAAAGAGAGAGAGAGGGAAACACCAATGTGAGAAACATCAATAAAAAGGTTGCCTTCCATACACACCCCAACTGGGGATTAAACCTGCAAACTGGGTATGTGCCCTGACCGGGAATCGAACCTGTGACCTTTCGGTGTGCGGGACAATGCTCCAACTAACTGAGCCACACAGACCAGGGCACATTTTACTCTTTTTAGTGAAGTAAAATACACATTTCAAAAATCTACATGTCATAAGTGTACAGCTTGCTGGATTTTCACAAACTGAAAAAATACATCCATGCAACCATGACTGAATCAAGAAACAGAACATGGCCAGCACCCCAGAAGCTTTCCTTGTGCTTGAGGATAACTGCTATCCTCATTTCTAACAGGACATATTACTGTGTGTTGGTTAATTTTATATGCCAACTTGGGTGGGCTGTGGTGCCCACTTGCTCAAACACTGGTCTAGATGTTGCTGTGAAGATATTTGGTAGATGTGATTAATATTTACAGTCACTTGATTTTAAGTAAAAGAAATTACACTCAGTAATGAGGATGTGCCTCATCCATTCAACTGAAAGCCTTAAGAGCAAAGAGTGAAATTTCCCTGGGAAAGGGAATCCTGCCGGAGTTTCCAGCCTGCCAGCCTGCTCTATAAATTCCAGACCTGCGAGCCCCCACAATCACATGAGCCAATTCTCTGACCTCTTATTATGAGGAAGGCCTCTAATTCAAATTACTCTAGATAGTTAAGGGGGAGGAGGCAGAAATTTCTCTTGAGCTCCTAATGTTTATTTTTTTGCCTTTAGCTCACAATAATCCACATGTCACTGAGGCACATCTTGGGGTGAACCCCTACAGAAGGTAAGTGAATTCTTATGTATTTTCTACTCAATTTTGCTGTGATACTAAAACTGTTCTAAAAAATAGTATTTTTTTTAAAAAAACAAAACCCTGTGCTTCATTTATTTAAATTCTCACCTGGATAATCTTTGGTAACCTTTGATCTATTTACCGACTCTAAACTTAACTTTAAAAAAGAACTTTAAATTAAAAAAAAATTTTTGGAGCTTTTGTAAATTGATTGGACCTTTACAGATAGTACTTTCTTTGGAAATGAGTCTTTGACCTTAAAGCAATTACAGTTGTTATTAGTTATCACACCTGCAACTCACTGATTTGGGATCTGCCTCTTAAAGTACCAATAAAATTTTACATATTTAGTTAAAAAAGAAAAAAAGGGCAAGAAAAGAAAATTCCAGAAACGCTAGGTCATTTCTCCACTTCTCTGGTTTCAGTGTAACCCATCAGGAGACTATTTTGAAAACTTTCTAGCTTGCTAATTTCACCATGCGCACATTCGTGTCATTCCTGCTCAAAACCCACACACAGCCCCCTCTGGCAGGCCCATTTTCTTCCACTCTATCAATCATCTGCCCATCAATCACCTACCCGCCTGTCTCCCTAGCTCCCTACTTATTTCATTCCCCTCACCCAATCTTCACTGTTCTACCATTAAGCCCCCTGGAATGTCTAATAAACAAAACCCCCTAAGTTGTTAACGTCGTTAAGGAATATTCCTCCACTTACTGGGTCTGACTGAATCCCGGGTGGACTCCGCTTCCCTGGCTTCCTTCCAAGCCCGCCTCCCCCACCGCTTTTCCGAGCGAGGGGAGGGGGGAGGGGAACGCGGGCGTCAGGTGGCCGCCTCCCTCCCGCGCGCCCAGACCCGGGCCCCTCAGTCCGCAAGCCCGCACCCTACCCACCCAGCTAGGTCCCAAGGGGATTGTTTGTGGTTGTTGGTTTTTTTTTTACTTTTTATTCATTGAGAACTCTGGCTCCAGGTGAGTCGTTCTTCCAATTCATTTCGGATCCTGCCCCTCTCGTCGGCGAGTTAAGTTGCCCCTCGGGGCCCTGTGTGGCTCCACCGCGCGTGTCCCGGCTCCATCCCTACATTCTTTCTTGCTCTTTCGCTGTCACAGCCAAGTTCCATCCCTGACCGAATCCGCGTCCGTCTTCTCCGCTCGCTCCGAACGCTCAGCCCCCGTTTCGGGGGAAACAAATCAGAACGTTGACCGAAACTGACTCAACATCGAGGGCTGTGGATGGTATTTTTAACTTTTTCATTTTTATTAACGTCCACACTTCAACAATGAGTACTCGTCACTTTCTTTAAAGCACCGCGAAGGCCTGCTGTCCGCCCCGAGGCGCGTTTCGGAGGCGCAGGCGCAGGCGCACACGCCGCTGCCTCCCGGGGCACGACGGGATGAGGGGCGGGGCGCGGGGGCGCGCAGGCCGCACGCACNGCGCGACCCTTCGGGAGGGGCCGATCCCGGAAGGAGGAGAGTGGGAGCGTGCGCGACCTGCTGTGTGTGCGGAGGCACCGGCGCGTACAAAGGGAACTACTTCCGATTTTGAGGCGCGCCGCCGGGCACGAGGCCTGGAACCCCAGGGAGGCAGGCAGGCTCGGGCAGACTGGCCACCTCCCGCCCTCCTCGCTCCGGATGCTGGGGACAGGGCCGCCCCAGGGGGCCGTGCTGCGGTGGGTCTGCGCAGAGGGGGGTGTCCTGGCCACCTGCGCGCT